TATATAAACTAGGAAGTGTGAGGTCGAACCTCATGTGAGGAATATTTGATTCACAGTGTAGGTGGTTTGTTTGATGGGCATATCAACTGCCATTGTCTTTGGTGTCCATGTCAAATTATACTAAAGCTTAGATATCTTTAATAAAATAATCTTTGTATATGCAACTAACCCGCTGATTAAAAGCATGTACAAAATTTAAAATTAAGGCGTTAATCCAGCATCGGATATAAAAAAGTGCAATATATATATTTAGAAAATTCTAAGTGTCCAAGTGAACTGGAAATCGTGTTGGAAAACTTGTCGACCACGCGTACACGAAAAACCTGTTGGACAAATAGTCTCTTAGGAGAAGGGGCGGCCGTCCCTTAATACCCCACGAGTGAAATGTGTGCAAAAATGACGTGCCTTCAGGAAGTATCGTATGCTTTTACGATGTTACAGAAGATGGCCCTCAAGTGTTATTTCAACACAAAAGAGGAGATTTGTTTTGATAAAGTCACCAAGTGGGTCAGTGATGTTTTCTAAACCCACACTGTATTGGAATCAACAAGCTGCTCTATGCTATGGATCAGACCAGCGTGGTTTATCAAACGTTCATACTTATTTACGATGTAAGTATCGTAAAGCATTTCATTACATTACACGTTTGGTAACCATTGGGTATAGTAATCAGCTGTAACAACACGAATATCGTAAAACGTTTTATCCACTTTGTAAACATTTGTTAGATTTAAAGTGAAATTTCGTCCTACTTTTTCATTTAGTATTCACATTTGTTTTATGTAAGTGGCGACACTGTTCTCAACAAGGAGAACAATTAAAACACTTGGTGTATAGTTTTCACACGAGGGGATATAGTTTTATTTCGGAAATAGAAATAGCAGCAAATGTTGCTACAGAAACATTGTTATTCAACAAATCAAGAAAGAAATATGAACGTAAGTAATTAATTTTTTAATTTTTCAAGATTGGTATGGAAAAAGGTTCATTTCATATCAGAAAAAAATTTGATTGCTTACTTTTCTGGTAAGTCAGAGAAGGAGAAACCAAGTAGTCTCTGGACTCCCTACTCTATGATAAAGAGTACAATATCGCTTAACGACAATATTGATATCGATACGTTTCTTCAGTTATTAGCATTTTAAAGAGGAAAAATGAAGGTTACGATACAAAGAAGTCCAAAATATTTACAAGGAAGAGTTGCAAAGTACGCAATTACTTTACTGCCCTAATGTATTGAAATATATTACCACACTAGGGCGGTAAAGACTTTTTTAATATACTGATTATAATGGCATCATATTTGTCTTTTTCTAATAAGTGGATACAATATTTTACAAACCAAGCTAGTTAGAGCAGCTGGTTAAATTGACCGGTAACGACAGCTCCTTCCCTTCTTTACGGATCGGGATGATAGTGGTTTCTTGTCATAGATTTGATATGGTGCGATCGCACTAGATATAATTGAAGAGATCAAGGAGAAACTTTTAACTTCGTTCTGGGAGATGCTTCAGCATCACGTCCAGGAAAGGTCTTTTTGAGTAGAGTTATGCCGGAGGGAAGCTCATCCACGGAGAAATCATAATAGCTTTCTTCCATGCCACCAGAGATATAGGATAGAGTTTTTCATTCTACTTCTCATGGAGAAAAACGATGGAAGGTACGAGAAGAGTTTGAGATATTCTCGCAAAGGGAGGCAAGTTCTTCTGCCAAAAGGTCTGACAAAGTTTGCCCATTCTCTAGGCAGGCTCAAGTCCAGGAACTGCATATTATGGGGCAGTGTCTTTGATTTTTAGTATTTTAGACCAGACGGTGTATCAGGATGTGTGACAAGTAAGTAAGGGTATGTAAGTTTTCCAGAAATCAGAATTGATTTTGTGTAAGATTCTTCTTACGCAAGATCGTGTTCGTCTGTACTCTGCGGTTTTCAGCGGTTGTATAATGGTTCAGCCTTCTTCCTGGCCTTGAAGACATTAACGCAGTGAATTCCACAAAGACACAGGAATCCGCCGCGTGTTTTAGGGACGGCAATTGTCGCAGAAACGACAGCAGCATGGGTTGAATGGGAGGTCACTTCATTGATGTTCTCAGAGGGTCCATTACGTATATGGAGGGATCGCTCAACCTCCGACCAGTCCGCTCGCTGGAATATCCAGTGAGGTGTCCCAACGGGAAACTGAGAATCTGGTATACTCATCCAGTCCACCAGATTTTCGTTACACCAACACTTTTACGAAATGCTTTTTGTCAGAAATTTGGCGTTCGCAGTTGGTGCACTTAACGAAATAAAATTATTACAGTTCACAGGAGTGGCCTTTCTCTTTGAAACTAGTTTCGTTCCTCGAGCACATAACTGAATAAAACGCGAAATATGCGAACGTTATCTTAAACTGTTTGGCTGCGTGATACTACAATCATTTAAAATTCTTCCCCTCGTAATTTCTCGAAACCAGAATATTATATTTCACAACACGATGCAAATTAAGTTTTTTCACTAGCACATAAATGTTTCTACAACTCACGTATTTACTACTTTATACTTTACATGAATACACGAACAATTTGCTTCTGTTACCTACTGTTACCAATCTCTAGTCTAGCACACGTCCTATCATCTTCGCAGCCGAAATCAGAAGAACATTTTAACGCCGTGTCCGTTGGTCAGTACGCTAGTTCTCCTTCCTCTTGCGTGACGTAGGCGATACCTCCCATATCTCTCTGGTCAGCCGACACTTGGTTATATATATTGAAACGAAGAACGTTTCTGTATTAGAACAATTAAAATTGATCACTAATTATAATTA